CTAACATTCCATCTATAGAAGTCTATGGCTCGAAGCTCTAGGCAGTGCTGTCCGTGAGCGGCCTTTGGTCGCACGGTCGCATAGGGAGGGGATGACGCACACAAGCGAGCGACCGTGTCCGAGCGCACACGGACACGGCCGCTCGCTTGTGTGCGTCATCCCCTCCCTATGCCAGGGGTGGGCAGTTTTCACTGCCCGCGGGCGCCCGTTTGCCCGCGGGCAATAGCTGTGCGTGTCGGGCACATAGACATAGTATATACAGGGTGTCTGATGCAAAAGTAGCCACCTTGAAAATAGTGGTAGATTGGGTTAAACTAAGGAGAAATATCATGTACCGCGGTACAAAGTAACAATAGTTATCGAGTAATAAATTTACACGTTTGAGCGAATGAGGATGCAGGAGACGGTAGGCCGGACTCGGAAGGCATTTAAGAAAATCGATCGATGAGCGGGAGGTGGAGCGACGCGCGAGATACTATGTTTATGTTTCGGGTCGCCCGTTGCTCGCGCTCGCTGCCGCGCTCGCCGCCGCTGTGCGACGTTGCGCGCGCATGCGCAGAGGGGGAGCCGCCGATGACGACGCGACCGATGATTGGCCGAACGGCACGGCAGCCGCGTACTTTCCTCGAAGGGCGGTAGCAGGCGGTAGTGCCGGTAGTATTCCTCGTGGAAATTTTTCTTCTATCCTTCTTCGGCGCGTAACGAACGACGAGGATAGACGCTGTCTAGACAGCGTAGATTTATACTTCTGCAAACATCCTAAGCATTAGCCAAACGTCCTTAGCTGCGTCGTCTTTAGACGATCGTACGTTGAGATCCCGTACGTTGAGCCCGGACGTTGAACCCGCCCGCCTTTTATCTTCGTCGTTCGTTACTTCTTCTTCTTCTTCTGGTAATGGCACTCGGCGCCTAGCAACGGCTGCCGACACACATATGCAGCTCAGCAAAATTGCTGGTGCATATACCATAGCACAAGACCGTCTAGACTCTTAGTCCTATGCGACCGTGCGACCAAAGGCCGCTCACGGACAGGGGCCCGATTCTCGAAATCATTCGAAAAAGAAACGTATACGAATATTCTGCTCTGACAGAAAAGTTGAAAGTCGATTGGTTAAAGCCATGCGAATAGCCAATCAACTTGCAACTTTTCTGTAAGAGCAGAATTTTCGCATACGTTTCTCCTTCGAATAAATTCAAGAATCGAGCCCCTGCACTGGCTCTAGAAGCGTCATGATCGCTGTTTCCGTGAACCGCCTTTTAACGGGCATGCGCGTCTCCCGTTTCTCGAATATTCTCGCTGTCGATCGCGGAAGGAGAGATCTTCTGCCTCTCACAAAACACATACCTCCATGTGATCATCGCCCAGCATGACGGTTCTCGAACGTCTTCACCACCTCAGTCTTCTTCGGAGGCTGATGTTGACCGGCAGTGCTCCTCTCTCGCGACGGTTGTTTCTCTTTTTTACGATTACCCGAATATCTCACGAAGAATAATCTCTGTCTTGTCCCATCACGTGACTCGAGCGTGGATCGGTGATGCCAGAGCAAAATAGTCCTTTTTGGTTTGGGGCAGAGATGCAAACGCTAAGCAGCTGGTTTAATCGGGTGCTACACAAGCTATGTTAGATGGATTTAAATTGCACGCTTATATACCTCGCTTGTATACCTCGGCTTCCCACCGCTAGTGCGCCAGCCAATGGACGCGGTAAACCGCTGCACAGTGTTGCCTACTATGCTTCTCTGCATGGCAGTCGAGCGCGTGGAGGGGGTAGAATGGGGGTAGATCCCATAGACATAGTATACAGGGTGTCGGATTCGATTTGGACGACTCCAAAGATTATAGTAGATTGGGTCAAACTGAGAAGAAAAGTTATATACCATTTTACAAAATCCGTAATTATTATCGCGTAATTAAGAAAAACGTCTGAGCCAAAAGTGCACGGAGGAGCGGAAGGCCGGACTCGGCAGACATGCAAAATGGTGTATCTGTTGACATCTCTCAAGATCTCTCAAGATCCGATAGCGAGAGGTGGAGTCACGCATCGATCGATGAGAGACGGTGGCGAGCGGGGAGCGGTGAGCGGACGAACGGCGCGCAGCGAGCGAACGCGCGACATATGACACCGCGCCGAAAAAGTTTTTCT